GATCTACCCACTATCCTTCTCCTCTTCCTTTCTCCTATCACTCTTATCTGCTCTCGCTCCAAATCTTCCGCAACTCCCTGCATCCTAGTGGCTTCACGCCTTGCTTGGGGCACAATGCTTAAAAAAAAAAAAAAAAAAAAGGTCTCATCATTTTACATTTGTTCTTTTATTGTTCTCTCTTCTGAATGTTTTTTTTTCTCATATTCATTCACACTCAATGACTATGGGTTAAATAGTAGGATTTCTATTAGTAAATCATTATTATCTCAAAAAAAATTTTTACAATGTAAAATATTTTCTGGTTTTAAATAACCTGTTAAAGTTGGTAAGAAAAAGATAAGAAAAGATAGGGTCGCCTAAAAAGATGAGAAAAGATAGGGTCGCCTAAAAAGATGAGAAAAGATAGGGTCGCCTAAAAAGATAAGAAAAGATAGGGTCGCCTAAAAAGATAAGAAAAGATAGGGTCGCCTAAAAAGATAAGAAAAGATAGGGTTGCCTAAAAAGATGAGAAAAGATAGGGTCGCCTAAAAAGATAAGAAAAGATTCAAAAAGATAAGAAAAGAAAAAAAAAAGATAAGAAAAGATCTAAAAGGGTCGCCTAAAAAAGATAAGAAAAGAAGGGTCGCCTAAAAATAAGAAAAGATAGGATCGCAAAAAGATAAGAAAAAAAAAAAAAAAGGGTTGCCTAAAAAGATGAGAAAAGATAGGGTCGCCTAAAAAAATAAGAAAAGATAGGGTCGCCCTAAAAGATAACAAAAAAAAGATATATATATATAAAAAGATAAGAAAAAAGGAAAAGAAGAAAAGATAGGGTCGCAAAAAAAAAAAGATAAAAAAAGATAGGGTCGCCTAAAAAATAAAAAAAAGATAAGAAAGATAAAAAGATAGGGTCGCCTAAAAAAGAGAAAAGAAAAAGATAGGGTCCTAAAAAAGAAAAGATAGGGTCGCCTAAAAAGATAAGCCTAAAAAAAAAAAGATAGGGTCTAAAAAAAATGTTTAAAAAGAAGAAAAAAATAAAAATAAAAAGATAGGGTGAAAAAAGATGAAAAGATAAGAAAAGAAAGGTTGCCTAAAAAAAAAGATAAGAAAAAAAAAAGATAGAGAAAAGATAGAAAGATCCTAAAAAGATAAGAAAAAATAGGGTCATAAAAAAAGATGAGGATAGGGTCGCCTAAAAAGATAAAAAAAGAAAAAGATAGGGTCGCCTAAAAAGATAAGAAAAGATAGGGTCGCCTAAAAAAGATAAGAAAAGATAAAATAAAAGCCTAAAAAGATGAAAAAAAAAGAGGGAAAAGATAAAAAGATAAGAAAAAGATAAAGGTTTCCTAAAAAAGATAAGAAAAAGATAGGGTCGCCTAAAAAGAAAAGAAAAAGATAGGGTCGCCTAAAAAAAAAAGATAAGAAAAGATAGGGTCTTTTAAAAAAAGATAAGAAAAGATAGGGTCGCCTAAAAAGATAAGAAAAGATAGGGTCGCCTAAAAAAAAAGTAAAAGAGGATGAAAAGGGTAAAAAAAAAGAAAAAAGGGTCGCCTAAAAAAAAAGAAAAGAAAAGATAGGGTTGCCTAAAAAGATAAGAAAAAGATATAGGGTTGCCTAAAAAAAATAAAAATAAAAAGAAAAAAGAAAAGATAGGGTAAAAAAATAAGAAAAGATAGGGGTTGCCTAAAAAAAAATGCTTTCAAAAAAAAGATGTCAAAAAATCAAAAAAGGAAAAAAAGATGCCAAAAAAAAAAGATAGGGTCCTAAAAAGATAAGAAAAAAAAAAAAAAAAAATGATAAAAATTCGCCTAAAAAGATAAGAAAAGATTTGGCCTAAAAAAGATGAGAAAAGAAGGGTGAAAAAAAAGAAAAAAAGATAGGAAAAAGATGAGAAAAGATAGGGGCTAAAAAAGATAAAAAAAGAAAAATAAGCCTAAAAAGATCTGAAAAGATGAGGGTCGTCTAAAAAAAAAGATAAGAAAAAAGATAGGGTCGCCTAAAAAAAAGATGAGAAAAAAAAAAATAAAAAAAAAAAAAAAAAAATGAAAAGAAAATAAGAAAAAGAAGGGTCGCCTAAAAAAGATAAGAAAAAAGATAGGGTCGAAAAAAAAGATAAGAAGATGAAAAGATAGGGTTCTTTAAAAAAAAAGATTGGGTTGCCTAAAAAAAAGAAAAGATAGGGTCGCCTGAAAAAAGGTCCTAAAATAAGAAAAGATAGGGTCGCCTAAAAAAAAAAAGATGAAAAAGAGGGTCGTTAAAAAGATGAGAAAAGATAGGGTCGCCTAAAAAAAAAAATGAGAAAAGATAGGGAGTAAAAAAGATTAAAAAGATAAGAAAAAAGCAAAAAAAGATGAGAAAAGATAGGGTTGCCTAAAAAAAAGATAAGAAAAGAAGGGTGCCTAAAAAATAAAAAAGAAGGGTCGCCTAAAAAGAAAGAAAAGATAGGGTCATAAAAAGATAAAAAAAAAGAAGCCTAAAAAGATGAAAGGGTCGCCTAAAAGATGAGAAAAATCGCCCAAAAAAGGAAAAAAAAGATAGGGTCGCCTAAAAGATGAGAAAAAGGGTCGGTTAAAAAGAAAAAAAAAGATAAAGAAATTGCCTAAATAGGGTTGAAAGATTTAAAAAAGAGAAAAGAAGAAAAGAAATTTTCGCCTAAAAAGAAAAAAAGATAGGGTTGCCTAAAAAAAAGAAAAGATAGGGTCGCCTAAAAATAAAAAAAATAAAATTTAAAAAAATAAAAAAGATAGGGTTGCCTAAAAAAGATGAGAAAAGATAGGGTCGCCAAAAAAAAAAAAATAAGAAAAAGATAGGGTGCCTAAAAAAGATAAGAAAAGATAGGGTCGCCTAAAAGATGAGAAAAGATAAAAAGATGAAAAAAAAAGATAAGTAAAAAAGATAAGAAAAGATAGGGTCGCCTAAAAAGATGAGAAAAGATAGGGTCGCCTAAAAAGATAAGAAAAGATAGGGTCGCCTAAAAAGATAAGAAAAGATAGGGTTGCCTAAAAAGATAAGAAAAGATAGGGTCGCCTAAAAAGATGAAAAGAAAAGATAAAATAAAAAATAAGAAAAAGCCTAAAAGATGAAAAAAAGATGATGAGAAAAGATAGGGTCGCCTAAAAAAATGAAAAAAGATCAAAAGGATAAGAAAAGATAGCCTAAAAAGAAATAAAAAGATAGGGTAAAAATATAAAAAAATAAAAAAAAGAAAGAAAAGATAGGGTCGCCTAAAAAGATATAAAAAAGATAGGGTCGAAAAAAAAAGATATCCTAAAAGATAAGAAAAGATAGGGTATTTAAAAAATGAGAAAGATAAAAAGATAGAAAGAAAAAAAAGATAGAGAAAAGATAGGGTCGCCTAAAAAGATGAGAAAAAAAAGGGTTGCCTAAAAAATGAAAAGCCTAAAAGAAAGAAAAGAAGGGTTGCCTAAAAAGAAAAGAAAAGAAAAAAAAAGAAAAAAGAAAAGATAAGAAAAATAGGGTCGCCTCAAAAAAAAAAAGATAAGAAAAGATGCCTAAAAAGGGTCGCCTAAAAAGATGAAAAAAAAAAATAAGAAAAGATAGGGTCGCCTAAAAAGATAAGAAAAGATAGGGTTGCCTAAAAAGATGAGAAAAGATAAAAAAAAAATAAAAAAAAAAATATAAAGGAAAAAAAGAAAAAAAAAAGATGAGAAAGATAGGGTCGCCTAAAAAAAAAAGAAAAAAAGGGTCGCCTAAAAGAAGATGAGAAAAATAGGGTCGCCTAAAAAAAAGATAAAAAAGATAGGGTCGCCTAAAAAAAAAATAAAAAAAAGAAAAGAAAAGATAGGGAAAGATATAAAAAAAAAATGAAAAAAGATAGGGTTTTTAAAAAAGAAAAAAAGATAGGAGAAAAGATAGGGTCGCGTTAAAAAAGATGAGAAAAGATAGGGTTTCTCTAAAAAGATAAAAAGATGAAAAAAAGATAAGGGTCGCCTAAAAAGAAAAAAGATAAGGGTTGCCAAAAAAAAGAAAAAAGATAGGGTCCCTAAAAAAATAAGAGAAAAGATAGGGTTGCCTAAAAAGATGAGAAAAGATAGGGTTTTAAAAAAAAAAATGAGAAAAGTTTTTTAAAAAGATAAGAAAAGATAGGGTTGCCTAAAAAATAAGAAAAGATAAGAAAAGATAAGGGTTAAAAAAAAAGATAAGAAAAATAGTTAAAAAAATAAAAAGATGAGAAAAGATAGGGTCGCCTAAAAAGATGAAAAAAGATAGGGTTGCCTAAAAAGATGAGAAAAGATAGGGTTATAAAAAAGATAAAAAGATAAGAAAAAAAAATAGGGTCGCCTAAAAAGATAAGAAAAGATAGGGTCGAAATAAAAAAGATAAGAAAAATAGGGTCGCCTAAAAAAGAAAAAGAAAAGATAGGGTCGCCCTAAAAAAGAAGAAAAAGAAATAGGGTCGCCTAAAAAAAGATAAGAAAAGAAAAAAATAAAAAAAAAAAAAGATGAGAAAAAAAAAAATGCAATAAAAAAAAAAAAATGAGAAAAAAAAGGGAAAAAAAGAAAAGATAAGGGGCCTAAAAAAAAGATAGGGTCGCCATAAAAAAGATAGGGTTGCTTAAAAAAAAAGAAAAAAAAGGAAAAAAAAAAAGAGGGTCGATAAAAAAAGATAAAGAAAAGATAGGGTCGCCTAAAAAGATGAAAAAAAGATAGGGTCGCCCTAAAAAAAAGAAAAAGATAAAAAAAAAAAGAAAAAAATGAAAAAAAAAAAGATAAGAAAAGATAAGGGTCGCCTAAAAAGAAAAAAAAAAAGATAGGGGTCCTAAAAAAGATAGAAAAGATAAAAAAGATAAAAGATAAGGCCTAAAAAATGAGAAAAGATAAAAAGATAAGAAAAAAAAAAAATAAGAAAAAAGAAGAAAAAAAGATTAAAAAGAAAAAAAAAAAAGAAAAGGGTTCGGATAAAAAATAAGAAAAGATAGGGTCGCAAAAAAAGATAAAAAAAGAAGGGTCGCCTAAAAAAAGATAAGAAAAGATAAAAAAAAAAAAAAAAAAAGAAAGGGCCTAAAAAAAGAAAAAGAAAAAAGATAAAAAAGATAGGGTGAAAAAAAAAGATAAAAAAGAAAAGATAGGGTCAATAAAAGATAAAAAAAAGAAAAGATAGGGTTGAAAAAAAAAGATAAGAAAAGATAAAAAAAAAAAAGAAAAAAAAAAGATAGGGTCGCCTAAAAAAGAAAAAAAAAGATAGGGTCGCCTAAAAAAAAGAAAAATAGGGTCGAAAAAGATAAAAAAATGAGAAAAGATAGGGTCGCCAAAAGATAAAAAGCCCAAAAAAGAAAAGATAGGGTCGCCTAAAAATAAGAAAAAGATGGGTCGTAAAAAGAAAAAAAAAAAAAGATAAGAAAATAAAAAGATGAGAAAAAGATAGGGTCGCCAAAAAAGATAAAAAAGATAAGAAAAAAGAAAAGATAAGAAAAGATACCTAAAAAAAAAAGATAAGAAAAGATAGGGTCGATAAAAATAAAAAAAGATGAGAAAAGATAGGTCGCCTAAAAAGATAAAAGATAAGAAAAGATAGGGTCGCCTAAAAAAAAAAAAAAAAGAAAAGATAGGGTCGCCTAAAAAGATAGGGTCCGCCTAAAAAGATGATGAAAAGATAGGGGGAAAGAAAAGATAAAAAAAGAAAAGAAAAGATGAGAAAAGAATTTAAAAATAAGAAAAAGCCTAAAAAGATAAGAAAAAAAAAAAAAGATGATAAGAAAAGATAGGGTCGCCTAAAAAAAAAAGGGTCGCCTAAAAAGAGAAAAATAGGGTCGCCTAAAAAGATAAGAAAAGATAGGGTTGCTAAAAAAATGAGAAAAGATAGGGGTGTTTTAAAAAGATAGGGTCGCCTAAAAAGATGAGAAAAAGATAGGGTCGCCTAAAAAAAAAGAAAAGATAGGTCGCCTAAAAAGATAAGAAAATGAAAAGAAAAGATAAAAAAAAAGATGAGAAAATAGGGTCGCCTAAAAAGATAAGAAAAGATAGGGTCGCCTAAAAAGATGAGAAAAGATAGGGTCGCCTAAAAAGATAAAAAAAAGAAAAAAAAGATAGGGTCTAAAAAAAAAAAAAAAAGAAGATGAAAAAGATAGGGTCGATAAAAAAGATGAGAAAAGATAGGGTCGCCTAAAAAGATGAGAAAAGATAGGGTCGCCTTAAAAAGATAAGAAAAAAAGAAAAGATAGGGTTGCCTAAAAAAAGATAAAAGATAAAAAAAGAGAAAAAAGAAATAGGGTCGCCTAAAAAAGATGAGAAAAATAGGGTGCCCTAAAATAGGAAAAGGAAAAAAAAGAAAAGATAGGGAAGAAAAAAAAAAATGAGAAAAAGATAGGGTCGCTTAAAAAGATAAGAAAAGATGGAAAAAAAGATAAGAAAAAGATAAGGTCTAAAAAGATAAGAAAAAAAAGAAAAAAAAGAAAAGATAGGGTAAGAAAAAGAAAAAAAAGATAAGAAAAAAAGATAAAAAGATAGGGTAAAAAGAAAAAAGATGAGAAAAGATAGGGTTATAGGAAAAAAGATAAGAAAAAAGCCTAAAAAGGGATAGGGTCGCCTAAAAAGATGAGAAAAGAAAAAGAGGAGAAAAAAGGGTCTGAAAAAAGATAAGAAAAGATAGGGTGTTTAAAAAAAAATATAAAAAAAAAAAAGATAGGAATAAAAAAAGAAGAGGGTCGCCTAAAAAGATAGATAGGGTCGCCTAAAAAGAGAAAAAGGGATAAAAAAAAAAGATAAGAAAAAAAGATAGGGTTGCCTAAAAAAAAGAAAGATAGGGTTGTATAAAAAAATGAGAAAAAAAAGATGAGAAAAAAAGATAAGGGATTAAAAAAAAAAAAAAAAAAAGGTTACAAAAGATGAGAAAAAAAAGAAAAGGGGTCGCCTAAAAAAAAAGATAAGAAAAGATGAGGGTTGAAAAAAAATTGATGAGAAAAGAAAAGAAAGAAAGGGGGTTGATTTGGCCTAAAAAAGAAAAAAAAATAAAAAATGAGAAAAGATATTCGCCTAAGAAAAAGATTGAAAAAGATAGGGTCGCTAAAAAGATGAAAAAAGATAGGGTCGCCTAAAAGACAAAAAAAAGATAAGTAAAAAGAAAAAAAATAGGGTCTAAAAAATAAAAAAAGATGAGAAAAGATAGGGGTCGCAAAAAAAAAGATTAAAAGATGAAAAAATAGGGTCGCCTAAAAAAGATGAGAAAAAAAGATAGGGTATGATAAAAAAAGAAAAGATAGGAAAAAAGATAGAAAAGGAAAAAAGATGAAAAAAAATAAGAAAAGGGATAAAAAGATGAGAAAAGATAGGGGTAAAAAGATAAAAAGATGAAAAAAAGATGAGGATAGGGTCGCCTAAAAAAGAAAGAAAAGATAGGGTCGAAAAAAAGAAAAGAAAAGATAGGGTCGCCTAAAAAAAGAAAAAAAATAGGTTCGAAAAAGAAAGAAAAGATAAATAAAAGATAAGAAAAAAAAAGATGAGAAAAACATTAAAAAAAAAGATAAAGTTAAAAATCTTTGAAAAAATAGGGTTGCATAACTAAAGAAAAAAAAAAAAGATTTAAAAAAAAAAAAAAAAGGGTTCAAAAAATGAAAAAAAAAAAAAAATTTCACAGCTTTAAAAAAACTATTTTTTTTAAACATTATTTTATGTGACACAGATCTTCAAATTGGCTTACGGCCACATCATATTGAAACTCCGGTTCCCGTAGGATAACCGAAGTTAAGCAACATCGAAATTGGTCAGTACTGAGATGGGTGACTGCTTCGGAATACCAGGTGTTGTAATCTTGGATGTGTGGGTGGTGTAATGGATAATGGCTCGGAATTGTTGACTGGAGAGCTGATTTCCAATTCTATTTGGGTTTGTAATATTCACTTACGGACAAATACTCTTGGAAAAAGTATGAATCCACCTTTTCTCTCCCCAATTATGGGTTAATTAGTAAGACTTGTATCTATAAATCTTTATCATCGCAAAAAAATTTACAATTTAAAAATATTTTCTGGTTTTAAATAACCTTCAAAGGGTTGATAAACCTTAAAAAACGAATCGATGAATGAAATACTGATTAGCTACACAGACATGTCTTTTAGATTTATTTACATTCTCTGGAATAGAAATGTATGAAATTAAACTATTAGGTTAAAAAAGTGAGGTATCAATTTATATACTGATTGCAATATAAAATTGATCCCCCACTTCATACCCGCATTACAATTTCTTGATTCTTTATCAAATTTAGATTAGATAGAAATCCACCTCTTAATTAGTAAGACATTGTTCTCTCAAAAAAAAAATAATACTTACAATCTTAAAAATATTTTCTGGCTTTAAATAATTTGTAAAAGGTTGATAAGCCGTAAAAAACAAATCAAATCTCTCATGGAATTTTTGTTTTATTTATCTAGACAACTTTATCTTCTCTTTCAATTACCTTTTTGTCTTTTTTGTTTTTTGAAAAGATTTCGCATAAAAGGAAATAAAATAGGAAAGACTTTTTTTTTTTACTGGTGTGTGGAAGAGTTAGAAACAGAAATATTACTAATGAGCAGGAAGAGAAATGATTAATCACAAAAATTGAGATGAATTTAGAAACTGTTAGCATAGACATCTAGCTGCCAACTCAACTGCAAATTGGTGAGACCTCGCCGCCAATCTAGTACTGCGCTTAAATTCCAAAAGTCTAGGTACCATAGCGAAGAGCTTATCTGAACAACTACCATGAAAGTATTTATAGAAAAGGCAAAGGGAGGCAACCTTACTGCCGTGGGCAAGTGACTGAAGCCGAGCTGCCAGATCAGGACCAATAATATTGCTGATTCTTCTTTGGATTTTATCAAGGAGCTCAAGGTAAACAGCAGGGGCACTGGACTATATGTGGCAGCAATATTCTAAGCATGGACGAATGGTAGACATAGATATTCAAGATAGATTCTGGAGAGAAAAATTATCTAGACTATTTACATTATTCGGACTATTGTCCTCATCTTCGTCGCCATATTTATTACAACGTTTCGGCCGTTGTACGCTCCGGCCTTCTTCAGGTGGTCAAACGTCGAACTGAACCCTTTATTTCGTTCACTGGAGTAGACTGTTCTAGTTTTGATGCCTCATCTCGGAAATATAGATACAAAATTATCTAGCTCGAGTCAGAGAACCAACTTTCTTAGCAGCTGACCTAGCAATGGATTCAATGTGTTGTGCTCCACAGATTTTCTGAACCTGCCACAATGCCTATTGACTAATCTGTCATTTTTTATTTGCAGGGACCAAAAAAGAAAAAGATGAGGAAACTTTAAAAAAAATTTTTTAAAAAAATGAAAATTTTCTTGGGGTTTTTATTTGTTTTAATTTCAAGCTAATACATTAAATCTAATATTTCCAATAAACAAAATACCTTGCTGTATTTCAAAACAAATTGAAATTGATTGGAAGGAGTTATTATTATTATTATTATTAGTAGTAGTAGTAGAAAAGTATTTAGTTTTAATCAATTTTTGAATAAATTATAACCGTCCATATTGACAAATCTGTCAACACAACGTAATTCTCTTTATTACAAAATCTTCAGAAATAAAATTAGTTGATTTAAAGCTTAATTAATTTTATTTGAAACAGATATTACTTCTAGTTTAAAATATCGCAGAAAAACATTTTTAACGGGCCAGGTATTTTATAAGGTGTTGACAACTCTCTCGATAGACTTAGTTTTTTTTTTTCTAAAGGGAACATAACTGTAACAATTAATTGACTAATATAGCGTGAACACCTTTTTATATAATTTTTTAACTACAATGTGATCTTAAAATTTAAGAAAATATTCCAATAATAATATTTTATCGAAGTTTAGGTACTTTGGCTGCATGGTCTAACTTACGAAAACGTTTCTTGAGGAAATGTTAGAAAATTACCAACGAATTTTAACTTTTCTCTAGTTACTGTCCTCATTTTCTTATAATGTCTCGTTTGGACATCCGTATTTACAAAAATCGACACGTTTATACACATAAAATAAACTCAAAATTCTTTTTAAAATACTAGAGTCAGTTAATGGAGTTTTCCCATTTATGATTAGAAAATACAAAGTCTTAATTTAATAACAATGTCGCTTGACCGCTACAGATTGATATAAAATTTTAAGATTTAAATGTTACAAATTATTCTAATAAAAATTAAAGCAAAAATGAAAACAACATCCTGTAAAAATTAATTATTCATCTATTTTTCTTATGACAATATTGTGTATAATATATTTTATACACAAAAGCAATTAAAAGATTTTCTAACTAAATAATTAGCTTTATTTCATTTTTTTATTTTACGATTCAGAGCAGACTTTCTGTAAAGGTGTGAAGAGGATCCTGTTTGACCAAAAAATGTTCATCACTTAAATTCTCCTGATATCTTCCTATAGCTATTAAAAACATTTAATCGTTACAAAAAAGCATTTCTCGAAATTTCATAAAATTAAATAAGAGGAGATTAACAGATGTAAAAATATATATTTTTACTAGGATTTTCTAAAAAAAAGAAATAATTTCATTCATTTGTGAATAAGTCCTGAAAGTTTCATTAAAGTCCGACAATTATTTGATTTTTTCAAGAATTTCCAAATCAATATTTTGCACCGCAAAATTCAGGGTCAAATTTCCCAGACTAAGTCGAATCCATTACATAAACTTTGGAAAAGGTATTAACCCTCTTCTTAAATGCAAGAAACAAATGGGTAAATAGTAGGACAAGATGGGTTCTATGGTAATTGGTTACCGCAGAAAGAAATGGCAACCGATATGCGGAAAAAAAATCTGTTTCAGTGTCAGTCATGTATCGAAAGATAGATAATCGCCTAAGCGTAAATATCACGCATGGCAATAACTGACTGATACCACCCATTTAATTTTTTTTTTTTTTTAAGCGTTTCACCCCAAGCAAGGCGGGAAGCCACTAGCACGCAAGGGGTTACAGAGAGTTGGAGCGAGAGCAAATAGTTGTGATAGAGGAAAGGGTGAAGAGAAGGATAGGGGATAGATCAAGGCATCCGGAGACGTCGATTGACATTACATTTGAATAGTTGGAGATTATAGCTATCAGGAAAACAAGAAATTGGGAGGGACTTCCACAGGCAAGAAGTGCGAGACATGAAGCTATTGGAGTAGAAGGAACGGCTACATTTAACAGTTTTTGCACAGTGAAAGGGTGAGAGCGAGATTCCAGCCTAGTTGAACGATTAAATTCATGAATTTTGGGAACCAGCGAAAGCAGCTCCTCGGAGCAGTTACCATGAAAGTATTTGTAAAAAAAAAGACAGAGGGAGGCAACGATGAGATGCCAGATCAGGGCCAATTACATTGCATATCCGTCTCTGGATCTTATCAAGAACCTTGAGACAAACAGAAGGGACACCGGACCATATATGTCAGCGATACTCCATGCAATGGCGAATGGTTGATCTGTAGATTTGATGGATCGACTCTGGCGAGAAAAATTCCCTGGCGCGGCACAGGGAGCCAACTTTCCTTGTGGTGGACGAAGCTATTTTAGCGATAAAAGCTTTTTCTTTTTTTTTCTTTTTTTTTTTTAATTTTTGGGGTATTTTTTTTTAATCATATATGCCCATTTTTAGCGAATCCTTGGAAGTATCTACTTATATGAATTATCGTTAATTCATTTTATAAGATTTCTCTTTATTTAATAATAATATTAATTCATTGTTGTTTGGGAAATTACATATGAGTGTTTCATTTTAATCGATAAAGAAAATAAGCGGATGATAAATCCTTACATCGCAGTCTTAATTTTGAAATATTTACGTATATAGAAGATTTTTTTAAAATATTTAATGTTTATTTATGAATTTTAAATAATTATTTGCATAAAATATTTTTAAACGTGAGTTAATATTCCCAAACAGAAAACTCGAGAAATTGAAATTTGACGCAAGTTTTTTTTATCTTTTTTTTTTTTTTTTTTTTTTTTTTTTTTTAAGAGAATTAAGATAAGGAGAGAGCTGAAAAAGTCAAGCAGTAAAATTGTTAACACAGTTACCTTCATGAGATCGCTAAAAAGAGTATAGCATGACGAAAAAGACGCTAAACTTGACGAAAACAAAACTTTATCGTGTAAATGTTTATGCTATTATTAAGAGGAAAGATCAAATTATTCAAAATATTTTTTTTTACATTTTTAATCATTCATAGCACGTCCAAAATTATCGTTAAAAATCTTGTTTTTTTTTTAGTCAGCAAAATTGACAGATAATCAGTCATGTCAACCATTTTTTCCATTTTATAACAAAAATGAAAATCTCAGTTTGAAATTCTTTTAAAAATCAATTATAATTTTTTCAAAACTTATTTTAAGAAAATCAGAAATTATAATGTTTATTTAAAATAACAATTTGAATAATTTAGACTTAATCAATCAACCAGAAAACATTAACAATCGATATTTATTTATTTTCATAGCAAGATTAAAGAAAAAAAATAGTTTCTGTTTACTAAACACATTGCTGAAAAATTTAGTCTTTCTTCTTAAAAATTCCAAAATTTACTAAAATCTTTTGAAAGTTTCACTTCGACAGGAATCCAATAGAAGAGGCACCCCTGATGAGAAGTTACATTCTGTCCATGATGCTGGGTTGGTGAGATTCATTGGCAATTCAGAAAATTATATTGATTTTCTCTCAGTATCTGCCTATATTTCTGAGATGAGGTATTATGTACATTATTTACATTATTCGGACTATTGTCCTCATCTTTGTTGACATATTTATTACAACCTTTCGG